TTGTCAGGTTTATTTACTTGTTAGGGTTTATTTCGGGTACCATTAGAAAGGAAAAACCCTGCGCCCTAAGCGTATCAGACTCTGTCTCTAAAGCCCAACGGTCCCAAACTGCAGTGAAAGAGCGATGTATGCTTTTCGAGCTGCAAAAGGGGACCCTGGTTTAGAGCTCTACCTATCTAGTCGACGGACAGGTATTGAAAGGTATCTAAACCAATCTGGTGGACCCAGGGCATGGGGTCTCATCAAGTTTAACGGCTTTGTATTGTTCTGAGGGGAATATAGGCTTTCTCAAAGTAGAAAATCTGTCCGAGTAGCTAGAGTTTTGGGGTGGAGAGGCTACAGAAAAAATGCGTCAGGAGTGCCTATGGATCACACTAAGTACCAAACCCGGCCTTGTAACTCGTGAATGGGGATATTGATGGGCTGGGACAGGGTTTGAGGATTGAGCATACAAGGAAGCATTGCGGCAACTGCCACGCGAAGAGCCCAGTGACCCTTGCAATTCTTTGATTTCGGAAATAGTTTTGCTTCGTTTGGGATTCCCAGGATGCTAACCCTATCTAGCCTACATAACTTGGGAGCGTCAATATGTTGACGGTTCTGCGGTTATAGGTGGGGCTCCGTTAACATTCGCTACCTGCATCATGTCGAGCCTTTGTAGTCTAGACCTAAGAGTAACCTAGGAATAAAAAGGGTGCCCTTTTTGGTTTAAAGGGGGTTATAAGGGAACCTAAGCCCTAAAAAAGGGAATAAGGGCCTACTCTGGATCCTAGTAGTTGTCTTTCCTCCAACTTCTCCGACTCCTACGGATGGGCTCCACTCGACATCAGGGTGTCGTGAACACACGTTGGTCAATCCGTACAATGGTGGCAGTGCGTATCAAAGCTAAACCCTGGAACTCTAAGCAAGCCTTAAGCCCTATGAGCCCTAGACCCAATCCTAAAACTCTGCCTTAAACTACCATAAACAACTTTTTGCATGCTCGTCTGAAACACTGCCTGATATGCAGTTTGTTGTAGGGGCCTGACAACAAGCTAGTTCAAAGCGGGCCCAAAGTCGACGCACGGTTCTGCGCCTGGGGTACCCATACCCGGCACGAAGACAGGAGCGTCCGCGCGAAAGGATGACCTCCCACTTGAGCCAGGCAGGACAAGTTAGGGCTGTATGGTTTTAGGTTTTGGATTTTTGGGTCCAGGGTTTAAGGGTTTTAGGGCTGAGGGTTTAGAGTTTCGAATTTAGAGTCTTAGGGGTTGCTTAAGGCTTAAAGGCTGCAGAGTTTTACGGCTTCGGGTTTGAAGTCTTCAGGTTTAGGGCTTTAGGGTTCTGGCATTTAGGCGCTTCCTATAGACCCTAGACGTAGTACCTCGTTCTTGTAGGTACTGTAGACATCTGATCGGCTGTCAACGTATAATTAGCCCCAATCCCTACAGCAAAGTAGGCATGACCCCGTATTCCCAAAGAGACCGGTATGGCGTGCTTTCACCACCACTCTGAAGGCAAACCCGACCCTGTATACCGAACTATAAACTGATAAGCAAATGAACACATTCAGATGCACCTATACATAACAGTATATACACATATACATATACATATATGGTATATGCATGCATGCATGCAAGTATGTCTGGATGTATGTGTATGTCTGTATATATATATATGTATATATATATATATATATATATATGTATATATATATATGTATATAGAGTATATATACATATATATATATATATATATATATGCACACTCTGTATATATATATATATATACATACATACATATTATATAGTGCACATGTATGCACATACGTACAGAAAGACGAGCAGGCAGGCAGGCAGACAGGCAGACAGACAGACACAGAGACAGACAAACAAACACATCAGTTCATATATGCACATATTCCCGAAGTGCCCGACGTGCCTCATTGTGCTTGGTGTAAGTATCCGCCCAGGAAATGCCTACAACCATTTAGGATGAAGACTCTCCCCCGCCCTGAACGCCGAACCCAATTCCATGGCACCAAATCCGAACCCTGTTCCTTGAACAAGACCGACATTAAATTAAGCCAAGAACCCACACGAACTGCAGGCTAGACAACTATAAGCTAGACCATCGCAAGGAAGATGCAACATCTAAAAACATGTCAACCCCAACAAGCCCCTTCGACTGGCTTCTAGAAAAGTCTTTCACACATATCAAGCACTCAAATACAAATATGAAAGCAACGCAACCTAGACCTACAAAACACAACTGCTTTTGACAGAAAGTGATGCCAAAGTCGCCTAAGCCCCCAAAACCTAAAGCCCTCAGCGCTAAAACGAACCCTAAAACCCTAAAACCTCTGAACCCTAAACCCTAAAACCCTAACCCCTGGACACCAAACTCCGCATTGTAACCCAACTGTATCGACCTGGGAGGCGGCGTGAGCACCAGTTGGCTCAGAGCCGTACCTAAGGCCTCGGCCAGTTGCAAAGCTTTTTGGCGCACTTTTTGGTTGGGGGCCGGGGGGGGGGGGGGGGGGGGGGGGTCAAGGGTTTGGGGTTCTATTTTTGATTGAGGGTTTTTGGAGGGCTAAAGGTTTTTGAGGGTTTGGGGTTGTGGATTGAGGCTTCGGGGGCTACAGGGTGCCTTTCGGCCTATGCTCTGTTTTGAAGGGCTGAAAAGTCTGCAAAGGGGTTGGCGGGTGTTCATGAGCCGGTATTCGGACTTGTTACTAGGGGTCTTATCAGGGTTCTTTAGGATTCGTAGTGGCTTTTCAAAAACATGTGCTGTTTGGCTTTTGCAGTGCCGCAGAGGGCAGAGAGTTGGTAGTTTGGGACAGAGATGGAAAGATGGTTTGGGGTTTAGGACAAAAGACTCCTAACGGAAGTCAGTAGAAAGACAATCGTTCGCAGGGTACTGTCCCGATCAGACGGCAATGCATTCGAGACAGTATGATCATCTTGTATTTTGTTCTGGTAGTGTTCTGGGTTAAGGGTACTAGGTTTCCCTGAACCCCAAACTCGAAACAACCCTAGCAAAGCCAGGCAAAGCCCCAGCAGCAGCGAACAAACCAGAGAGAAATACCAACGAAAGCCTAAACCTCAGCGTTCAGTGTTCATGGGCATCAATGAACAATCGAAAACGCCTGCCGTGCTCAGTACTACTTCAGAAGCCCGTCAGAGAACCAGAGCCACACACAGGATTGTTCACATGGGGGTCTGAAGGTCTTACAGATTAGACAAGGGTATCGAGCAATTCATAGTGTGCTAATACAGGACCCTATACAGGGATACCAGTTCAGTTCATGCCTCTAAGTAGTCTTGAGTTCGGGGGGTTTGGGGGTCTTCGGGCCTAACTTGCCCAACCGAAAGTGCCTTTTGCACCTCTCCTCAAGATTGAAGCCTTAAAACCCTAAACCATACATGTGTGTATATATATATATATATATTTATAGTATATAGTATATAGTATATAGTATATAGTATAGAGTATATAGTATATAGTATATAATATATAGTATATAGTATATTATTGTACAATATGTATATGTAAAAATACGGTACATATGTATGTATGTATGTATGTATGTATACACACACTTGTTTATCTGTTCAGACACGAGCATGTATTGTTAGTATAGACATATATGCATATAGACATATGGAGTAAGCTTTTTTGTACACATCCATAAGTTATATATGTATATATATGTGTATATATATATATATATATATACCTACAAGCTCGCACTTGAAGGCTTCAGGGCATCGTAAGCTCCGTGCGCTCGCGGCATCGATCGGAGGAGCGCTGGTCCTTTCGAAAGCTTTCCACTTTAGGAATGTGTACAGAGGTTCGGTTTAGGGTTTAGGGTTTGGAGTTTGGGGTTTGAGGTTTAAGGTTTGGGGTTCAGGGCTTGGGGTTGGGGGGTTGAGGTGGGCCTGTTAACTAGTTAAGGCTTAGGAATTGGACAATACGGGGGTTACAAATGAGGCCTGTAGAACATCAGGAGCTTAGGGTTGTGGGTTTGTAGCGTTTTAATCCTACGTGTCCAGTACCCTTGGGAACTAAAGGTTAACCTTTGGGAATATATTGGGATTATAATACACCAGAAAATGGTCAAAGGTTACCTACTCGACTACTAGGTAATGGTTCAGGCCCCTGCGCATATTGGGAGTTTCCGAAAACTAGGATCACAGTAATTGTAAGCACTCTGGCACTGGTATTGCAGTCATATAGCTATGTCGTAGATCATAGGCTCGTAAGAATCATAGGAGTTCTGGATCAAGGCTGAGAGCCATAGGACCCGTACTGGCACAAAAACTATACAAAGCGCCTAACAAACCCCCATAGAAACCTTACTGCAAGCATAAAGCTGTGGACATCCTAACAAGCTCCAAAAGCCGTTCAGAGGGTCTCGCCCACCCCCCCCCCGACCATCAAGTCTTCCCCCTGTGACCTTGGCAAACCCTCATTGTTACCCGGACACTAACATGTTGAAAAACACAACCGTTTATTAAACCCTCTTAAAGCCTTCTGTACCCGCATTTAGAACTCTGATAAAGCCCTAAACTCCGAACCCCAAAACCAAGAAACAAAAACTACACGGGAAACCTCTGATAGAGCCCCTACATACAACACACACATACACAAACAAGCACATACACACGCATACACATACATGCATGCATACATACAGACATAAAGACACACACACACACACACACACCTACCTGGCTACCTACCTACATGCATACCTGCAGACATATATACATGCATTCATACATACATATTCACAGACACATACATACCTACCTGCATACATACATACACACATACCGACATAGTCGCATATCTCCACACGCACATGTGTACACACATATACATACACATCTTTGTGTACATGCCCATCTATACATACATACATACGTACATCTGCTGTTTCTGCTGTTTGGGGCGGAGGGTCGATGTGACGCGGCCCTTTGGCTGCACCTAATTAAGTGAAACTGAAAGAGAGGCTACCAGTTGCCCACCATCAGGAATCCCGATGACTCGCTTCTGACAAGACCAGGGAGACGCTGCAGAGGGAAGGCAGACATTGGTAGCGGAGACGGGACAACGAGCCGGGAGGGAATGCCACAAATCCAATGGCTCACAGCAGTTCGGATGAGCTCACAAGCGAGCTCAAAGCCAGGCAGCTGGGAGGTGAGGGATTGGGCAGCCCGGTTGGCGTTGTCGGGCTCCGTCAGCGGCAAGCCCAGGACAGACAGACAATAGAAGCAAGTCGGGTCCGGGTATGCCAAGAAGTCAACGACTTGGCCGTCCCTGAGCTCCTGCAGCGTGTCATGGTGTTCATAACACAGACAGCGGGCGGCAGGTACCGGCATGTTAAAGTCGGCAGGAAGGGGCCCAACACGAACCCAAATGGTATCAGTGCTGGCCTGAGAGGGCGGAGCCCATCGGAGACGGGTGAAATCCAAAAGATCTAGGTAAAGGCCACTGTGTTTGTACGTGTCGGTGTTGGGCCGGTCGGCAGAAGGGGCAGGAACCAACCAGGTGACGAGATCAACGGAGCAAAGCTTGCGTGCGGCCTCGCGGAGAATGGCGAGGGTCTGCATGTCGGTACGCTGCGCTGGATGATCAAGCAACTGCTGCCAAACGGTGGCCGTAATGCGCAGCCGTGAGGCCTGTAGACACACACAGGAGAAGGCGGCTCGGAGCCGGTCCCACACCTCGTCCTCCGTTAGGCTGGGGACCAATCCATCATGGTCAAGGAGGGCAAGGCAATCGAGGATTTCCGCCGATGGCCTGGCGGTTTCCTCCTCAACTACAACCTGGAGGGGGCAAGGCAGTGGTCCAGATGCCTGGAGGACGGGCGTCAAATCCACCCCATCATCATGGGCCCTGCGGTTGCCAATTCCAGGCTCAGGGTCATGTCTAGAATTCGAGGACAGTAGGCGGTTGCGGCATGCGCTGCTGTACCCGAGATGGCGGCTCAACTTCACAGCCGAAGTGAAGTGTTTGAGACAAACGGGGCATTGGGTGCCAGGCGCGAGTCGCCGCATCTCGTCCGTGCGGCCGTGGGTGGAGAAGGCATGCACTGACCACGCCCTATAGTCCTTGAAGTGCTTGCCACATACTGCGCAGCATTCTCTGGGCCCTTCAGAGAAATCATCGCATAAAGGGAGCGAGGCTCCAGCTCCCTGCAGCTGTCGGAGCATCCGACCCTGATGCCACAGACGTGCAGCCTGCCAGCGCTCTCGTATAACTGCGTGAGCCTGAGCTCTGCGTATGCGGGATTTCCACCTGCCTGGATGATCAGCAGCCTCTTGACGCCAGTTATCCCATGCCTGTTCCCAGGTGGAGTGCTGATGCTCCGGAGCCGTATTGTCCCATAACCATTGCACGGACTCGGACACACTCTGAAGCCATTTGCACTCCCAATGGGCCAGGGCCCAGAGCTCTGGCACGTGGAGGGTAATGCACGACAGCAGGTATCTGAGCCTATGGACGTGGAGATAGGTGTTGGCACTGGGGAGCCCGACTAAGGCAAGCACATGTGATGTACCGAGGTGCCAGGCCTCCGTGCACGAGTACATCGGCCGAAGCATTTGGCAAGCCATGCTACGAAGGGCCCCTGTCAGCTTCTGCACACACTCCTCCGAGGGTTCCGGCCAGGTTCCTGAGCCATAGAACATGGTGGTTGCGACCAAGCTGTCAAACAGGAGGGCTTTCTCTCGCCGGTCAACGCGAGGGGAGCCGAAGATTTGTTTCTTACGGCTATTGAAGGCCGTCCAGGCTTGTGCGATGCGCGCCTGCACTTCCCGTAGTAGACTTCCGCGGTGGTGCAACACTCCGCCTAGATGTTTGTAGGTCGCCGTCAAACGCAGTTTGGCCTCAGGCCAAAGCCGGCAATTCAAGGGGAGTGCGCCAGCAAATTCATCAAAGAGCTGGCGTTTGACATGGCGCGCTCCTTTGGCACGGAGGTGGACAAGTGCTTCGGTTTTGCCGCGTTTAAGGTTCGGTAGCAGAGCGTGCTCCAAGCAGGTGTCTAGCAGGGTAGAGGCACCCAGACGGAGGCGCTGCACAAGTGTGTGCGAGTCCGGTGCTTGGAGAAGCAGGGATAGATCGTCCATCCAAGTTGCATCAAGCACAGCAATAGTGTCTGTGGGTGCTCGATTCAACGGTGTGAGCCTGCCAAGCATGTCAACATGCCACGGAATCTCGGGGATGAGGCCACAGTCCTGTAGCGATGCACGCACGTGTCGTAAAACCTGGGCAAAGAGCAGGCTGAAGACAAGATCTGATAGGGAGTCTCCCGGTCTCGAGCCTATGGCTGTTGAAACGATGGCGGCGTCGCTCGGAAACTTGAACCAAGTCCCATGGAGAGTCTCCTCGAGGGCCTGTGTTGTCCATTGGCTGGCCCCAGCCGACAGAGACAGCGCCGGCTTCTGAAGATGGCGCTGAATGTCGTGGTAAACGCCGGGTGGCAGGCTGACCGCCTGGCAAGCCCTTGCGAGTGCATCCTCGGTAAGCGGACCTCCGGTCACCAGGCCGAACTATTCGATAAAACGCTTCCTGTAAATCCAAGAACAGGATGCTGTGGCAATGGCCCCTTTGAAGGCAGGCAGATTGGTAGAGGCGTGTAGCATGGGCAGGCAACGTGACCGGGTGACCAGGCAAGCCGCCAACTTGAAGAGGCGAGGCGGCATTGCACAGTGCAGGGACGCATTTGCGTCGCAGCAGTTTGTGCAGGGATTTACTAACAACTGAGGACACAAGTATCCCGCGGTAAGAAGAGCACTGTTGTTTGGGTCCTTTGCGTTTATAAACGCAGTGGAGAACTCCACCCTTGTGCTGGATGGGCTCCGCCAACGTGAGCAGGGATTTCAGCTGTAGCTGAAAAACGGGCCGGGCAAGGAGGGGCGCGCAGTAGTGCAGGAGTTCTCCTGGAAGCCCGTCCAGGCCGTATGCTCGATCGGTGGCGGTAGAGCGCAAAGCCCATTCGAGGTCGCCCAGAGTGGGGGCGTCAAGGTGTGTGACGGTGTAGTCATCAAGACTTTTGCCGGCCTGGCGGTGCAGACACTCCCTGACAATCTCACATGGCGAGCTTTGGGATCCAGCCTCGATTGAAGCGAAGTGTTCTAGCCAGCACTGTCGGGCCTCCTCATCAGTGGCAGCAAGGGTCCCATCCTGGCGTTCCACAGCAGGAAGAGGCGTCCTCTCACGCTGCTTCCGCTTAGGGCCGCCGGTGAGGGTGCGTAGCCTTTTTACAATGGACTGGGTGGAAGAGTCCTCTGAAGCCTTGGCGACGGTGCAAATATGCTGGTGGTGGTCCTGTCGGATGGCAACTCGGAGTTGCTGACTCGATTGCCGGAGTTCGGCAAGAAAGCTAGGGAGGTCCTTGAGAGCCCATAGGACAGAGGACCAGCCAGCGAGTAGGGAATCAAGGATGCATCTTCCATCGCGCCAGGCTCTAGTGGCTGACCGTAATCGCCATTGGTAGAGCATACGGGATGCCGCCTTAACACGCTTCCGCAGCCACTCACGTTTGCCGCGCAGTTGCCAAGTGGAGGCGCTGAAATATTCATGCCGGCATGGTGTGCGGCGGACGGGGAAGGCGGCTGCAAGGCTATGGCGAAAGTATTGATCCAACGCTTGGGCATGGCGGTGGACGTCCATCGCCCACGGCTGCAATGGAACACCCTCACATATCTGGCTGAGGGTTGCGCGGCCTTCAGGGGTCCGCATGGCCGCAGTGTCTAGCCGGAAATGTTTGGGTCTGGTGGTATGACCGACGGTGAAGGATCCTTGTGCCCATAGCTGAAGGGCAATGTGATCAGCGCGGCATTGACCCCAATCAAGGCGGGGGTTGACCTCACTGGAACCGGCTGCGACATCCCATGAGGATGGGATGGCAATGTAATCAAGCCTGGCGGTGCCAGCGCCTGCAGGAGGATGCCATGTGGTGGTTTCGCCGGGGTGGCAACACTCAAACGTGCTGGGGATCCACAGAGAAAAATGGTCAATGAGGCGGTAGAAATCAATGGGTGGATCAGGATTATGAGTCCCCCAAACAAGATCCCCAATTGCTCCTGCGTGGCTTCGGTGCATATGCAGGTTATAATCCCCGAGCACTACCAGAAGGGCGTCCTGAGCAATGCGCCTTAGTAGTTGGAACAAAGTCTGCCACCATGTGTTCCGGTCAGGGCTAGCACTGTGTGGTGCGTGGATGCACACAAATAGGATCCTTAAGGATTGATGGGTATAGCGGACAGCTAGAATCCTGGGGGTCCAGTGCACCGCCAAGAAGGCACCGGGCTGAAAATAGACCGGGTGTCCATCTGGTTCGGTGAGGAAGGGGGAGTCCCGACTAAACCATATTTCGACCCCACAGGAGCCGTCTTCAGCTTTGGCACTGGTAAACCTTACATGGCTAGCAGACACATACGTTTCACTTGCACGTGACCTAGTTTCTTGAAGCGCAGCAACACACACTCCTTCGGCCTGCAGTTGATCGCGGAGGAAACGGGTCCTACCAACAAACCCGTCGTGCTGGGTATCCGCATCGCCTCCGGGCTGGTCCTGTGGGTAAAGGGTTTGCACATTTACCGTGAGGAGATGTGCAGCAATTGTACCCTTAGTCTGGCGTGGGCCATCTGTACAGGAGAGATCTGGGGAGATGCCAAAGAAGGCATCACACTCTGCAGGGGTCGGCATAGGGGCTAGTGTGCAGGGCTGGGAAACTAAGGAGCTACCCCGAAACTCCGGCCAAGCATCAGGTCTGATCGTGGCCTCCGCAACCAGCCAGAGCCAGGGGAAGGACTTACGCCGGGCCAGGCAGGAAAGAGTAGAAAGAACGTCGTCTGCCGTCACTCCAAAACCAGCGCAGGCCTGCTTGGCGAGGCAGTCCGCAACCTCATTGCCTGGGTTCCCTACGTGGGAGCGGGAGTGGTGTATCTGGAAGTGACGGTCACACGTGGAGCGCAAAAGCTGCGCGGCGGCACGACACTTGCCAGAAAGTGAGGTATCCTCAAAGGCACCCCCGGTTCCCGAGACGATGGAAATGGCAGAAGTGCAATCAGAATAGACGTCGACGGCCGCACAGGCTGGTAGTTGAAGACACCAGCATGTGGCCCAAAATAGTGCTACAATCTCGGCGGAGAAAGCCCCCTCGGTATACTCCCCGAGGTACCCTGGATGGGAGGGGTCCTTGGTAAGACGACCACCTTGCCAGCCTAGGTGAAATCTGTGTCCGCGCGTGTAGACACATGCATGGAACGCCCATGCCGAGTGGTGACCATCATATGAGCCATCTGTATAGATGTCGACCTGCTGGATGTCGCTGTATGAGAGCGCTGTGCACCTAGTATCCCAACCCTTTAGCCAGTGTAGGACATCACTGGAAACATCAAGGACTGGTAATGTTGCGAGGGTCCAGTATCCGACATGGAGCAGCGGAGCAACGTCATCAAGGGAGCAATCCAGCAGCATCTGTACTTCGGTGAGATCAAAGGCGCGACCTGATGGGAGGTGGTCGGAAAGACGCAGAACCTGAGTTCCTTGTCCTGTGCAGCCAACGGCTGGAGTGGCCCGGGAGTGGCGGAAAGGCTGAACCTCGATAGGTTGCTGGTCGGATTCGTACTCGATTAGCGTCTCAAGTAGCGTAGCTGCAAGAAAGAATGGGTAGTAGTTGGAGTCGAGCAGGGCCTGCTCCAGCAAAGTGGGCTCAACTGTGAGGCCATCTGTGTCGCGATCATCCTCATGGCGAGGAGGGCCGGTTGTTAAGGGGCGGTCGACTCCGGGCAAGCTGACACGGTGCAGGGTGGTGCTTGCATGTACCGCCGAGAGTGCAGAGGTGTCGGACGGGTGCCCTCGAGCTAGGGCGTCAGAACTAAAGACCGTCGTCCACTTGATGTCTCGATCGGCAGTATGTAGGGGAGTGCAACCAGCCCGACTGGGGGTTGGTATTGGTCTCGTGATGGTATTGGTCGCTGGCCCGGTGCATACATGGTTTAGCGCATCGAGAGGACCATCTGCGTTTGGCAGGGCAGACCTTAATTGCACAGCCTCATTGACGGAAAGGTGGCACGCAATGGCAAGAACTCCTATGACTACATTAAGCCGCGACCGCCTGAAAAGGCTGGCAAGGGCAATGGTCAGTGAGAAGCTCCAGGTGGCATGTCGCAGGTGTGTCGTAACGTCGGTCCAGGCCGGACTGACACGAGGCTGGGGCCCCTGGTTGTCCCTGCAGTGGAACCCATCTGTCTGGGCAAGACAAGAAATTATGAGACCGCATCCAAGTGCCTTGAGAAAAAGCGCGGTAACTCGCATACGCGTTTTAGTTGCAGCTGTTGTACCCCCGTCGGAGGGGTCAGCACAGAACCCCTTAGTACAACCCCGCGGGTGGACGCAAAACGAGCGCCAGGGGGCAGGGATGATGTGGGAGCATCTCCCCGCTATCGGGGTCTGTCTCCTCAATCCGCCCGTCTCGGTAGAGTTAGTGGCGGTGCGGGGGCTAGGCTGAGACGCGCCGGATGACCTGGCCCCTTCTTCGGCATTGGGGCCTGGAGGCTCGGGGTCTGCCGAGGGTCGGGAAGGTCCAGGAGGATGCTCTCCAGCGGGAGGGGGAACCGCAACGGCTGCAAAGGCACTATCAGGGAGAAATGAGAGCACAAGGGTTTCACCTTGGCTGATGTGGTATGTCCCTGCGAGAGGGCTAGGACCAGTCTGAGGGTCTAGGCGGCAGATGACAAAGCCCTGAGGGCATCTATCTCGAAATCTATCACGGAGTCGTGCCGAGTCAAGGGTACGCTCTGTGACAAGTAGCCATGTAATGGGGCAGAGCATGGGTCTGGCATCGATGAAGCACAACTGTGCCTGCCCTTGTGGCACAGAGCTGTCCCTGACGTTATCTTGAACCGCAAGTACATTAAGAGACAAAACCCCAAGATGAGAGTGGTCCCGGATGGGGACGTCCGGGGCGGTAAAAGATATGTCATCTGCGGTAGTGTGCAGCAGATGTGCGACGTCAGTACGGAAATGCGGTCGACGTCCGGATGGTATATTATAGGTCCAATGCGCTTGCGGCGCAATCAGCCACACTGTGTCTCTGAAGGGCATGTTCGGTGCCCACTCGGTTTGCCAACCTGTTGGGGTGGCTAGCAAGTCTCTGAGCGAAGCAGTGGCTAGGTGTCCCTGGGTGACGGGGAGGAATATGACTACGTCACCATGTAGCAGATCGTAGTCAGCTCTGGGCGGTAATGGCCAGGGAAGGTCGCGAAGAAAGATTTCAATAGGTGGGTCTCCAGTGAGCCCCGCTGCCTGGAGAAGGCCCTCCCGCCTCACAACTCGAGGGAGTTGGATGGCATACATGGCGCCGTTGACCTGGCTGAGGTCAAAGATGACAACTGCACCATCAGGGACCCAGATGGGAAGAGCCAGGAGAACACCAATCCCGGCCAGAGGTTGGGGATGAGCAGTATGCACGATTGGAAGGCAAAGCCGCGGGAAAGGGTCTCTGGCAGCATTGATGGCAGTGAGAGCCTCTGCCGGTTCGATGCCTACAGGGAGGCGTGCACGGACTAACTCAGGTGCATAATCCTGGCCAAGAATGACAAAACATCCGTCAAAGTATGTCATGGCCTGCTCGGTGTGTGGTGGGTCGGCATTGCTGATCTCGGTGACAGAAGCTGGGCTACTAGGCTGACCGGTTGCCGTGGGGCCGTGGGACACTGGCCCGGCAGCTGACGCAGGCTGCGGCGCCGGAGGACCTCCACTGGAGGCTGGCGCATCAATAGACCCGGTAGGTGCTGCATCGTCCTCAAGTGGCACCGCATTGGTAGTCAGAGCGGGTGCCGGGTCTCCGTGGGTATCTGTGGGGACAAGGTACGCAACTATCACCTGCCCCGAATAAACCTCAATTATGTCGACATTATCATCCTGTTGCCAAAGGCGCAATTTCCACCCGATGGGGACCTCCTCAAGGAGATCCTCCTTCAAAGTGGTGCAGGAGAGTCGATTATTGAAGGCATATGCCGTGTGCCATCCGGCAGCAAGTGCACGAAGGTCAAGTAGGATACCGGTCCATGGCTCCGGTACGAAGTGATTGGCTTCGCATACGGCTAAGACGGCACGGCAAGGCAAACCATCCAGTGTTGCATCCTGCGCAGCAGGCCTTGCTGGGAAGAGGCGGATCTCCGCTGTGCGGACACCTACGGCGGCCGCAATGTGTGCTCTGTATTGCGTGGGATGGCGGGCATCAGGATGATGCAGAATGCACTCACCCCTGTGCACAAGACAATAGACGAGATCTTCTGGGGGGGAGGGTACAGTAGAAATCGCGCTCCATGCATGCCGGGATCCAAGGGACTGAGTCAGGAAGCGCGGCAGAGGCAGCACAACCCCGGGCGGGGCAAACGTAACTGTCAATCCAGACCAGAGGTGTATGACCGCATCCTCTGGTAGTGGTTGTCTATCATCCCCTACGAAAACGTCAATGCCCAAGTTAT